ACGAGGAAATGTGTTACCACGAAATATGTGAACATCCTACGTGCTCTATACTCGAACATTACAGGCCGCGTCAGGGTCTACGTTGACCTATCAAGTAGCATTTCGACAACAAGTGGCGTTCTTCAGGGTTGTCCGACTTCCCCATTTTTGTTTAATTTCGTCGTTGACTCAATCACGTAGTGTTCACTTGCGGAATCTCATGACGTGGTCGTTGAAAAGCTACTTGATGAAAGATTAGTTGATCTTGGTTAGGCGGACGATATGATCTGGCTTTTTGACGAAGTTGCTGCGGCACAATCAACCCTGACAAGCTTCTCTATAGTAGTCCCATTATGTGGTATGCATTTCGCACCTTCAAAGTGCAAAGTGTTGTTGCAAGACCACCAGCCGCTTGATGACCCTCTGACTGTTGATAACTAGGAACTCGAGGTGGTTGATCAGTTCACTTAACTTGGCAGCTGCACCAGAAACGATGGGCGCACAGAAACTGAAGTCGGTTCACCCATTGCAAAAGCCAGAACTGCCTTTTTGTACCTGAGGAATCTTTGGTGACAGAAAGGAGTTTCCATCTGTCCGAAAGGCCGTGTTTACAAGGTTACAATGAGGACCGTCCTGCTCTATGGGAGTGAGATTTGACCCCTTCGGTCTGAAGATCTGAGGCGCCTTCAAGTCTTTGATCATCGTTGTCTGCTGAGCATTGCTTGTGTCGGTTGGCTTCAGCGTATCAGCAACGATGGTGAGCATAGGCGAGTACTAGACAGTGATAATCAAGCTAGTTTCTTAGAACAACAGATAGCACTGAATATGTTGCGTTGGCTTGGGTACGTTATACATATGCCTGGTCACCACTTACCTAGGAGGACCTTGTTTTGTTTACTAGATGTAGGGTGGCGCAAGGCTCATGATGGACCAAAATTGACTTAGCAGCGTCAAATGAAGTCACTGACGACCAAACTGGGTGCCGTTGGTCCGTCTTGCCTTCCGGGCTGGAGTCCACGTGACTCGCCTTGTGCTTGGCTAGAGACTTTACAGGACATGGCTCGCAACCGACACCAGTGGCGCGTCTGCTGCTGTCTCCTAGTCGGGTTGCCTGTTTAACGTGTGTTTTGTGCTGAGTTATCTGCAGGGTAATGGCTGATTATGACGCGTGGCAGTGAAAGCCGCAAGGAAGCTGTCTCGCTGATGCCGCCTTATCTTTGTACGCTAGCCAGCTGTTTGTGACGGTATGTTGTCTACTCAAGGTGTAGGCGCCTTGACCATCAATGTTTGCTTAGGGCATTAAGGTTTTCAGGTAAGTCCCCCTTATTATTCTTAATTTCATTGGTCCTCATGGTTATATGGCAGCGCAGCATCAGTTCAAATGGCAGATGTACTGCTGTTGTTGATTACTTGATTGGTTAGTTTTGCGGCGTTGTGCAGCAGGGATGTTCGATGTGCAGTTGGGTACCCAATTATGAGACATCCTTCTAATCAGCCAAGGCGACGTTATACATGAAGTGCTCTGGTTCACAAAGGCAATGGATTCAGTTTCACTGAACTGTTGGTCAATCATATAATAAGTACCACGACCAAACTTGAAGTTCGGCGCTTGGAATGTTCAGAAAACAAGCCTCGACACAGGACAAAAGGAACAAGGAAATTTGTGTAGCCTATTCAGGTAGATGCCGGTCGGAGGACATAGAATCCTCGAGTCCCTCATTTTTAAGTAAGGGAAGGTGTTGGAAGGATGTCTACTCGTCATACACTGATGTAACAATTCTTAGTTGCTCTCTTTCACTTTGTTATCTCTTGTTTGTTAACATTTGTCTAAGCGCGCCATTTCTTTGATTTGATTGACTGGCTTATGTCATTCGTAATGGATGTTATCTCAGGAACCCATTTCCGCCAATACCATTCCCTCGAACATGCACGATTAGTTCGGACTTTTATCCTCTATCATTTGCCTGTGCTCTTCAACGACTGTTATGTTGATGCTTGGCTCAAATGTGTTTTAATAGCTGTGCTTCTATCACTATTGTATTTTATATAGGGAAGCAGTTCTCTCATGCATACAATTCTGTCTTGGCATATCTTTTGCATTCTCATGGCGGTCGTGGGGTGGAAACAAGCGACGGCCAGACAACGCAATATATTTTGGGCCATGTTTCATCTTAAGTTACTACACTAGTCTATGTGCTTCACTGTGCGGAAGTTCCAACTAACTGCTGCTTACCTGTGAAATGTTTGATCACTAGTTCTATACTTTCTGTCACTTTTCCATGCTTTCGACAAGCCTCCATTACAATGCACGTTGGGTCCAGCCATGAGTTATTCATCCAATCGTTCTTACATCTATCACCTTTTTAAGGCACTACTGTTCAAACCATTTATCTGATAGTTCTGGAGGTAGTATCATAAGCTATAAACTACAAATTGGCAGATAAAGGGAAGCAAGGAGGTTGTCGATTGTGTAAAACATTTGATGTAACTTTGGCTACTCAGCAGCCCATGTCAAGGGCCGTGGGTCACAAGTTTCTCCACCAACTTCTCAGTCTGAACGGTACCTATTGAAAACTAAAGTCCATATGAGATGGACCATAAGGAGAAAAGGTCAGAGTTACTTAGGAGATGCATGCAGTTAGTTAATCACTCTGACCAGTTCAAGAAAAATGCTGTAATTTCCCTTACTTTTTGTGTCTTAGTTTTCCGGATAACTGTTAATTCAAGAATCCTCATAATCTTTTATGCTTTTTACTTTTTCCGCCACACCGATGTGGTTTGCCGCATAAAGTGTTGCTTTTCATAGCACTCTTCCAAAAAGTTTAATTAGGGTGTCCTTTCATGCATTACGTCAGTAGTTTGTGCAGCTCTTCGTTTTGTCAGTACTGGTGGCGGACCGGTTACGTGAAAATGATACTAGACACAACATCGGCTTAAATAAGCTAAAATTCCTGTATAATTTAACCCGTAGGCTAAGTTTCTTCCACTCTATTTCCTAGTATTGTGTTCGCAGCTAGCAGGCCTACATATTGAATAAAGTACCCTTGCAACTTCGTCAGAGATTCCGTTGAAGAAATCAACCAAGAGCCCAACATGGAACCGGAAATGGGTGTTGACTTCCGGTCAGGTACAAATGTAGAAACACGAATTCATGGTTTGATTATCCAAGTGAGCTTAAGAACCAGTAGTGTGGAAATTACCTTCGTTTTTCCCCATAGTTCACTCTGGGACACAACAGTTCTGTTTTTCAGCTGTCTCAGCATCTGGCGCAAATTCAGGATTTTTACTGTTCATTGATCTGGTTAAATTGAACGGATTTATGCAGGTCCTATATTTTTTCATGAAGAGTGGAGCACTCTCGGAACTCATCGTTGATTTTTGGCGTACGATTAAACGATCGCGCTCCCCACACTAACGGGTGAGCATTGCACACACGCACACACACACACACACACGTATTCAGATTTATGCTCACTCATTACCCTGCTGCATAAGTAATCTGCAGTTAATGAACTGTTCCCTAGCTGACTGCCTTGCTTTCGGATTCACAAGGAAACAGCCAAAAAGCGGATCAATTTTTAATTAGGTTAAGAATACCGGGAGGAAAATTGCCTAAAACAAACTGCCTGTATATGTCCTACCAACTAGCAGTATGCTGGCTTCATTCATCACAGTACACAATGAATTTGCACCAAAAAATATTAGTTGGCATTCCTTTTCCCCGCAACCAACTTTAGTATTGTTATAATTGTCTCAAAAACAGTACACGCTAGTTACGTTATTTATTCAAGAAACAGTTACACTGACTGACCTGATGGCGGAATAAGCTAGCTGTGCTGGTTTTATTTAGTTAAGTGGACCACTGTTCATCTGGCTAGCACTGAAAAATTCATGCGGACTCCACACGCTAGCGTCTTTGTTACAGAAAAATTCATACGCAGCATCTACTTCCATCACTTCATGGACGTTGGGGATAAAGTCTGATGTTATTGCTTTTCTTTGCCATGCGGAGCAGCAGCACTTAGACTCCGTATCATGTTTGATGGTCAAATGAGCCATTCTGGGTGATAACCGGCACATTTTATGCGACTGAACATCCCAGTGGGGGTGCTGTAATTGCTCGGTGCTCCTCAGGCACCCAATGGGCTGGTCTCCTTCTTCATTGGTTCTCTTTCGTCGTGCCACTTGGGACGGTGCGTTTGCACAATTGTTCCAGTAGAACTCAACTGTGTTGCGCATGTCATGTGAACAATTTTTTTCCTCCCACGTATAAGCTCCATGCTTAGCCGACTCTAAGGCAGGCAGCTCTGCCGAATCCTCATATTCTCGGCACCCGGTGAGCTTGTCGGTCTTGGCTTCATAAGGTTGGCCGTCCAGAGCACCGAAAGATAGCCCGAAAGGTAACCTTGCTGAGTTTGCGCATAAAATATACTCCTCACATCTATGAAGTGGGAACGGACAGTCATAGCTCGGTATTTTCGGATCTATTCTACATCTGCGCCTCGGGGCATCCTCTGTGAGAAGCAAAACATTTTTGTGCAGGTTACCATAAATAAACGCACAGCATCCGCTTTTTGCGGTTAACTACTATAGAACAATAAAGTAGTCCAAAAACAACCAAAGTGGGTTTCTGTTCGTGAATTTTCTGACGTCCACTGTGCAGGTAATCTCACCACCAATTTCTGTCCGCAAAAGCATAAGTATACGATATGCATAAAGAAGTGAATTAAGAAAACCAAAATTACTCTAAAGAAACCTGAATAAGGTTTTAACTCAAAAGCGAAACATTGTGTATTATAACAAATATATTAACTAGTCGCCTGTCAAGCCTTCTGAAATAATGACTTCCGATCGGTTCCAAATATATTCCGCAAGATCGAAAACCTAATTTATTCTCCACTTTATTGGTGCTGAGATGGTTACTTTACTGGACCATCCAGGTACAATTCAGATGTCCACGAAATCAATACAGATCAATCAACAGCGTAACAACCAGATGAACTGCTTCCATCGCAAAATTATTAATCCGAGTGTAAAAGCAAACGTTTGCACTTACGTCTCTTTGCTTGAATTTTATTCGTATTTGAGGGTGAGCAAAGCACTCGTGGTCCTGGTAAGTATGCGGAGCTGTACGTGTGAGCAAAATGAGATAAAAATGCCTTCACTTTAACATAAATGATGCATTAGCAGACAGACCTGAATTATTCTGCTGTCTCTAGCTGTCAATTCTGCTAATTAGTATTTTTTTCAAGAACTCGTACAACGTCTGCGCACACTGTTGTTCTGAGCTGTTGCTGCGTAGATTGATATAGAACAGTAAGTTAACGCAGTAAGGCGTTGCGTAATTGCCAATCTATTTGATGGCGTACACTTTTTACGGAGCAGTCATAAATCAAGCGGAACATACTGTCGCGGGGCTACCTCATCGTGCAGGTAAAACGCTATGAAAGTTGCGGTCAACCAATCTTTTCGTTACAATGATCTCATTATGACACTGGCATACTGGTGTGCCAGTGTTGGAAAGAGCAACACCCAAATATTTCCATTCCGGACACAGTCCTCGAGATCGGAATGACCGATTTTTACCTCAAAATGAACCGAGGTCTCAATAGAGGTTGCCAGTCGCAACCCAGCCACACAACGTGCTCCCTAACTTCAGCTTTGACCTATGTTAGCACTTTACCCTGTATAGTGATAGTGATTAGAAGGATACTGGCGAAATTTCAACTTTCGAGTGCGTTGTTGATAAAAACATCAAGCATTCATTAACAGTTTTTAAAGGGATGAAGTTGAGATAACCATCTTGCTCTTCCAAAGTATTCTGCAAATAGTGTTATTTGCAACGGACCCGCGCCTGAACTGCTAATTACGCCAATGAAGCAAAAGATGGAGTGTTGTTGAAAATGTACCATTGGGCACAACTAATCAGCATTGGGATGTGGATGCTATTGAATTGAGCCATCGGTAAAGCCAGGTGCTGAGCACAATCACCTGCGTTTCCGGCAGGCAACTAGCAATTTCAGAACCCACTGAAAGAGCCACAACAACACGATACAAATGAAAATCGACTTGCCGAAAGCACTCTTAGTTGGGTTGATATTTTATGCATTCGGATTCGATCCTACTGTTAAAGCTCGTCTATATGACTCAAAAACGTAGAAGGCGGAATGTACATGATTCATCGATCAATGGTTCCATGTCCTTGATTCATAACCTATATATCACCAATTCCAGAGTAGAAGACAGATAAAGGAAAATCCACTGCAAGTATGAAGAAGAAAGCTGAGAAGTGTAAGCAATCTAAAACGTGCATCTATTTGAGTCAGGAGAAAGCTACTAATGTTGTCGGTGTACTTAAGTTAAAGTGTTGACTGATAAGTGTTACAAGATAACGAATATTTCTAATAAGCAAGTAGCAATAATACACATCGTTGGTGAAAACAGTTGCTGGGTACAGAATGCAAACAAATGAATAGCTTAATAATGTTAGCTCCCTTTAGTAATTTGAAAAGCGCAGTAAGAATACGAAAACTGTCAAATGCAAAAATTTCGCACAGTCTCATCAGTCTTTTAAACCATAACACGCAACAAAAATTTTCAGTGAATAGTGCGACCAAACATGTTTAGCGACATCGGGTTTCGGATTGGCCTATCACTGTGGCAAGCCAAAGGACGCCTGCGCCTACAGTGGGACCATGGGTGACTTGCGCTGCACCACCCACAACTCCAAACACACACCCCATATCCAGGGTAAACCCGAAGGAATAAGACTGGGAGGCATGCGGATGGGAGCCACGATTCACCAACGAAGCCGACCCACACCCCTTCACAGCCAAACACAATCACGCTGTATTTGGGGAAACAGGCGCACACAAGGCGGTGGCTGGACCGTAGTCCGCTCCATACCGACTACATGGAACCGCTTTTCGAGCCTAGCACGGCCACAAGGACCGTGCACCCTGTCCCATCCAGCAACGACCAACTCACTCCTGGAGCCAGCATGGATGAGGTAGTGGGTAATAGACAGGTACGCACCTTGTCAACATGCACATCAAGCGCAGCCACACCGGGGATAACAAAAAACAGACAATCACTTGAGAGAGAAAGGGAGAGAAAAAAGAAAAACTCGATTAATGCATAAGGAAAAAGTGATATAAACCTTAAGTAAATAGCATATGTAATAAGTTGTTTACAAACAGATCCTAGCTAAGTGCACGAGGTCAGGAAGTATAGCTCAAGGAATGCCACGAACACAAAAATGTTATGGAAATCGTATACAATTGGCTTAGGCGAGGTGTGCAAGTTAATGGAATAGAGTACAGGGAGATATTTATACGAGAAAGAAAAGCGTTGGGACAAAATTGAAAACCCACCACCTGAAATAAAGAGACTTAGCATGCAAGCACGCGGTTAGTAAATCGAATTCAGCGTGCCTACAAACGCTGCGCCGGTGTTGCCTACGTTCACTGCGGGACCCGTCGTCGCTTCGGCAGTGGTCCCGAGTGACCTCTCTCATGGCTCACTAGGCCTGCCTGACTAAGGCACTCGCGACCGCATGTTCTACAGCACCATGCGCTCGATGTCGATGGAGTACAATTCATTGGTGCTTGCCGCTTCCGCACTTGCCGCTTCTTCTCTGCATGCATGAGGGCTTTCTCCCGCACTTCAGCAACTGCCTTCGCGATTAGATCGCGCCATGCACCACGATCAACCGCCTTCGATTCCTATGATCTGCAATCAAGATTAGAACGTGTGAGGCTCACTTTAATCATGTCCTGGTAACGTAACTTTGGTTTCCCACCATGCCGCTTCCCTATACTCAGCTGACCGTACAAAAGTTGTTTCGGTATTCGCGTCGAATCCATACGGCTCACATGACCGAGCCATCTCAGGTGTCGCAGTAAAAGTATGCCGTCCACTGCATACATCCCACTTCGGCGCAACACTTCCGTGTCTGCAACTCTGGCGCCCCAGCCGATCCGCAAAATTCGTCGCAGACACTGCTGATGGAACCGCTCGAGATATCGCACATCCCGACGGTACATCGTCCACGTTTCACTGCCGTATAGAAGAACGGACAGTACCATGGATTTGTACACCATCAGCTTCGTGCCAATGCTAAGCTGATGGTTGTTCCACACTCGGTACTCTAGCTTCCCGAATGCCGCTGCCGCCTTCGACACGCGATTACGCAACTCAACCTGTAGCTGCTGATCAGTCGACATCACACTCCCAAGGTAGCAGAAGCGGGAGGTGGTTTCCAATACTTCAGCACCAATGCTGATTTGCGGCAATATTGAAGATTGCACCTCCGGTGAAGGCTGAAAGAGACAGACAGTTTTGCTTCTGTTGATGGTGAGCCCGAATTGGGCCGCTGTCGAAGCCAGAGCACTAGTCATGTGCTGCAACTCATCCGCGCTGTGTGAAAACAACGCACAGTCGTCAGCAAACAGCAACATACGGATAGTTGTCTCACAGACTAGAGTTCTCGCATCGAAACGACGGGTGTTCAGCAACCCACCATCAATACGGTGCTCCACACGAACACCGTAAGCACAAGCAGCATCAAAAGCACAAGACAACATTGCATGAAGATAGATATTAAACAGGGCAGGAGCTAACACACAGCCTTGCTTCACACCAGAGACAACTGTAAAGTCATCCGAGGTCTCTCCACTCAGCTGCACCCTCACTCGCATACCACTGTGCAGACATTCAATTAAACTTACAAACTTACGCGGGCAACCAAACTTACCCAACACCAGCCACAATGCCTCGCGGTTCACCGTATCAAATGTCTTGGTGAAATCAACAAAAGGCGAGTACAATGGCTGGTGTCGTTCTCTGCACTTCTCTTGCAACTGACGAGCCGCAAACACCATATCTATAGTGCTGCGACCCGAACGGAATCCACATGGCTCTTCCGCCACGTTTGGTTCCACAATCTGACTCACGAGGCGATTGAGCAGGATTCGGGCAATCACCTTGCCCACACAACTCAGCAAGTTGATGCCACGATAATTCGTGCAACATTGCTTGCTCCCTTTGCCTTTGTACAGTGGTAGCACAAGGGCATCCTTCAGCTCAGGAGGCACCTCCTCTTTAATCCACACGCATTGCACCAAGTGGTGCAGCGCAGTCAACAACGCGGTTCCACCGTGTTTCAATACTTCAGGTGGGATCCCGTCACCTCCGGCACATTTGTCGTTTCTCAGATGAGCAAGTGCTCTCTGCGTCTCATCTAGTGTCGGCGTATCCGGCAGATCCGCCTTCACGTCGTGCTGCTTCAAGCCATTCAATGTAGGCCAGTCGATCTCTGAACGGTTGTTCAAGAGACAGTCAAAGTGTTTCCGCCAGACCTGCATTATGTCTGCAGTCTGGGTGCAGGTAGCGCCTGAACTACCATCGATCAGTGTCCTCAGCGGCTCCAATCTCGGTCCATACACCGCCTTCAAGGAGTCAAAGAATTCCTTGTGTTGACGGCGTTCGGCGTAGCATGCCATCTGCTTCGCCTTCTCCGTCCACCATGCATTTTTAATGCGACGGAGCTCTCGGGTCAGTCGCCGTCGAAGTTTGCGAAACTGACTACTCTTCCCCAAGTCACTGGGGTCTGCAGCATGTGCAGCAAATGCTGCATTCTTCTCTGACACCAATGCGTCAATCGTCACATTGTTGTCATCAAACCAATCAGGCCGCTTACAGTTTGCGCGCCCGATGGTCTCATCCGCAGCAGCCAACAAACATACATGTAAACAAACAAACAGACCAGCACACGATAAGCGAGACAGGCTTATCACCCCTATCCCCATGGCAGTCCAGTGCTGTCCGATAATTGTTTCTGAACACAAAGCAGCGGCTTAATTCGATTAATTGCAATCACCTCTGCGAAACGGAGGTGGCGAGAATTGGCGTGTTGTAATAAGATTGTGAACGCCGAAGTAACCTCGACTTGGTGAACTTTGGTCAGTAAGTGTCGGCTGATCGAAGAGGCTGGTGGCTCACACAGACAAGCAGCTTGACTCTGGCCAGTTTCCTGCGCGGTCGAACGTTGAACCCACTTAGGTACGTGCTCCTTCATTCGGGAACTCAATGTTCTATCGGTCCTGCCTATGAAACTGGCGCCGCAT